CACACACGCGCGCACACATACACACACCCTCATCCCCCCCCCAACACACACACACACCCACACACACGCACACATACACACACACACCCTCACACGCACATACACACACACCCACACACACACACGCATATATATATTTATATATATATATATGGATACATCCACACACACATACACACGCTCGCACACACACACGAACACACACACATACTCTCACACACTCACATACCCTCATATACACACACATGCACCCCCCACCCCCCCACACCCACACTCACACACACACATACCCTCATATACACACACATACACACACGCTCGCACACACACAAACACACACGCTCGCACACACACAAACACAAACACAAACACAAACACACACACACACGAACACACATACATACTCTCACACACTCACATACCCTCATATACACACACATACACATATACACACACGCGCGCACACATACACACACATATGCACACACACACACATATATACACACACACACACGCACACATACACACACGCTCGCACACACACAAACACAAACACAAACACAAACACAAACACAAACACAAACACAAACACAAACACACACACACACAAACACACACACACACATATATATATATGTGAATGTACATAAACATGCTTCAGCTTATGATATTTCCACTAAACATCTGAAAAGTGAAGAACACTACTCCTGAAAAATTGAAAATCGAAAAAGAAGAGGCCGTTTCTTGAAAGTCACCAGTCGCCTGAGGTAAATAAGATTCAGTATGTCACTGAGGATTTATGTTTGTTTTTTTTATCAGTTGCAATCGCAATAACAATAACGATTCTGCAAACTGTAACAGCTATCATACTGATTAATCAACAAATATATAAATAGATCTCATCAGATTTACAGTACACAAAATTATCATATTTAATATTTCGAAAAAAAATATATAAATTAGCAATAAGTTTGGAAGTCGTTAAAAAATGCCTTTATAGATTAGGTAATTTTGTTTAAGATAAGGAGGGACTAAATAGATCTATGTGAGACGAATACGGAAACAGACAGACGGAAAGTAAGGAAACGTTACTTAAAAATGAAAACATACGCAATGAGAATAAAAAATAATTGTAATTACTATCTATTCTCATTGTGGCTGTTTTCAAATTCATTTTTATGTACACGTTACTGTCTTTGTGCTTGTGTTCAAACTTTACTTACTTTAAGAAAACTGTTCCTCTCTGTTTTTAGTTGCAAGGAGCTTCACTGCCTGCACAGAATGAAGAAGAAGGCATCTGCAAGAACTCAGATAACTTATCAACGCTCTTGAAATGATGCCAAGTCACACACTCTCCTCACACACCTTTCTTGACATCAGATTCAATAGGTCATCGTGATTTGCACCTGCGGGAAACTAACCTTGAAGTGGGGGTTATGTGCCCTCTCTCAATTCGAGATTAAGAAAAGCTAATGCTTAAAATCTTTCCAAATTGACCGAACTCTAGAAAAAAGTCAAACCTTATACTGTATTCTCTCGCGTTACTTCAGGTTTTGGAACAATGGTTAACATTTTTTTTTTTTTTTTTTAATTCTGTGGCCTCCGGTAAATGTATAATAATCTCCTGTCATCTTTCTAGATTTATTATTGCTAGTTATCAATAGTGTAATGGTGTCAGAAGTTATAGGAAAAAACACCCTTTGTAAAGATTCATTTTTTTTAAATGTCAGAGATAACTATATGTCAGTACTGAGATATAAAATCTACTTTAATTCGATGTCATAATCGCTATATTTTGCACACACACACACACACAAGCACACACACACACACACACACACACACACACACGCACACACACACACACACACACACACACAATGTGTACGTACTTATGTAATACATACATACATCCCGGACTGGGATAGCAACCTCTCCTCTCCAACGGCCATAAATTTGACACAGATCTACGTATCAGATTAGCAGGAGTCAGAGAGCAAAGGCGTAATAACTTCGTATAGCATACATTATACGAAGTTATACGAATACATCCCGGACTGGGATAGCAACCTCTCCTCTCCAACGGCCATAAATTTGACACAGATCTACGTATCAGATTCGCAGGAGTCAGAGAGCAAAGGTCGTTATCCAAGATGAGGCCAGAAGATGAGTTACCACGCTCCTCAAAAGACTCATCTGCTTTGCGCACGCTTGTGTGAAGAATCACTAACCAATAATTATCCATTTGTCATAAATTGGTGTCTGTTTTAAGCTCCTAATTCCTCTAAAAAAGGTATTGTAGTTTCCTAATGGTGAATAAAAGTTTATCAAGGCTGTGTGATAAGAACACTGATAAACTATCTGAAGATAGTGTAGATATTTCTTTTTCCCAATCTTAGCCTGTCATTAGTTTGCTACATCATCTCGGCCTACAGTGACGAACATCTTGACAGGTGAGTGGTGTGTACTACTTTATTTTCTGTCTCTGAGTGTCACTGCATTTTGTGTAAAAAATACGTCCTCATCCTTAGTCATTCCTTTTCTCTTCGCCTTATTTTCACTGATGGTGTATTTTTCCCTTATGGATTACCTCTTCGACGATACTTCTCTCTTCCATAAAATGTCTTTTCTTCCTTTTATCAATATTGTCGTTAATAACTTCAACGATAATAGTGATGCCGGAGTAAATATATTTTTCATCTGCTGGTGCACCTTCTTTCAGACGTATTACTATTAGTATTTTGTTTAATTCCGTAAGTTTTGTCATTGTTGATGTGTTCAACGTCATTATCATTGCTATTAATATATGCCTGTCTGTTCATCTCTCTCTCTCTCTTTCTATCCCTCTCTTCCTTCCCCCCTCTCTCTCTATCCCCTTACTTAGCTCATCCATTTATAGTGTACTTGGTGGTATAGCGGTAGCGTTTTCAATCTAGCAAATTTGCTAACCTGCGTTCAATCCCGCACGCTGCCAGTACATGGCAACCCCTACCATTCCCTGATCACAACAACGAATAAACATTGTAACAAATGCAATTCAAGCTAAGACACCATCATTATTACTTGCTCCCTATAAACAGCAAACCCACAGCCACCGCAGTCGACCCACGATGCGTCTCGCCAGCGGTCACGTCGCCATCCAGCTCCCCGACGATGAGATGAAGAGGATCCTGAAGGACTTCGAAGGATTTAGCAAAGGCTTGGTTCGCCTGTCGCCCGGGGGTTGGGTGCTGCCTGCGCCCTACACCAAGTTCGCAGACAAGATCTATAACACGAAGGTAAGGTTGTATATCCCTAATTGAGTGACTGAGGAGCTTATGGTGAGTGTATTCCATATTACTCATTCATAAAATTATCATAGAAAAGTTAAATCAAAATCGCAGTATTACCTTCACAAAAAATGATTAGATTTTTACCTTTATTAAAATAGTAATTAAAAGCATAAGAAAATATCGACATAGCATCTTTTGAAGTATTAATCAGTTGACTATCTTTGACCGATAACCGAAATTATTAAGAAATCTGAGACAAATCTTTCTGGACTAATGCCACAACATAATCTGCCGCGGAACCCACTAAAGACAAAGAGGATTTTTACAAAACCGCCACAGATCCTGGTATTCAGCTGTCGATAAAGCAAAGAACAGAAAATCCGCCACTTCATTTTACCCACAAAATACTAATTTCCAAATACAAAACTTTATGATCAAACATCTTCCAAAACTCATCAAAAATAGACAACAACAAGTCCATTAATTAGATTTCATTTATGTCAATCACGTGTCACAACAATATGTATATATACACAAAATTTTGAAAAATATCTTTATAAAAAATAATGTTCTCTTCATTAAAAATTATGTTCTTTTACAAATAATATTCTCTTTAAAAATTAGTAAATAATTAGTAAAAATTTAACGATTAGTAAATAAATTAGTAACTCTTCATAAAAATTAGTAAACCAAAGTTCCGTTTCCTCTCACTGTTCACGAAACCTTAACCAACGACCTGCACTTGTACAGTTCCGCGCGAGTGACGTCGTCATCATGACGTACCCGAAGTGCGGAACGACGTGGACGCAGGAGGTCGTCTGGACCATGAGGAACAACCCGAACCTGGACCACCCGAAGGCCAGCCTGCCGGTGAACGTCCGATCGCCGTTCATCGAGTCAGTGTTGAAATGTGTTCAGGACCCTTTTGGTTGTAGTACTGGAACACACACACATACGCATACACACATGCACGCACAAACACACACACACACACACAACACACACACA